CACATCATACAGATCTGCGTAGAAGTCAAAGAGTTTCAAACGTAACTACATTTTGAATACATTTTTGAATTTTTTTTATCTGTAAAATATGCAAAAAGGGAAGATTATATTACATTTTTATGAATTAACATGCATACATGCATTATAAAATATTCAATGTTTAATATATTTTTTACATTAATTCCATATATTTCTGTATATATTTGATTATGGAATACTTCTGACAAGCCTTTTTTAACGCAGAAGGTTGCGATTTTTTTTGTTTTTCAGTGGCGCCATCAATGTCCAAGAATTTAACTTTTGTCTCACACATACGTCACAGGCCGGTTCACAGGGAAGACTCATTCATACACCATCCATCATCCACAAACCGTAATTTTTGTCCTGAATCAGAGCACGATCAATCTCTGATCTAGTGCCCTTAAAAGTAGAATTGAAATGTTCAAAGATTAATTTAAAATTGAATTTTTAAAGAGTTGCAGGCAGTGAAGGGTGCGTTCATAAATATAATTATTTGTAGTCATTAATTCCTTAATTTTGCCATCATTTTAAGTGACTATATTAAAATTTAGCCCCTATATTTTTACTAGTTGATATTTTATAAATACGATATTTTGTATTCGATAGATTTAAAACACGATATTTTGCTGGACTTCTTAATATGTATTACATAAGCATATCTGAAAATCGTAAAATGCGGAATCAATTCAGTACATTAACGAATCATTGAAATGAATTACTCATTGATCATATTTCATTTTTCTTCGTAGTAGTGATCTTGCATCATTTCTCCGTTGTAGAAAAAAGGATGAATCATTCACGATTATATTCTCGGAAATTTATTTTTCCTGCCAGACACTTACCGGTTGGAATGAAATATAACTTCGAAAATATTTACCTGGAGCAATATTTCTTGTCATCTCAACCTCCACTTTCAGAAATTAAATATAAGAAATGTCACTTTTTCTGAGCCCTTCCGCTTTTCAAGATGACAGAAAAAAAGGAGGAAAAAAAATAACTCGTAACATTGTTTAATTTAATTTGAAAACTGCAAGGAAGGATTTGAGATTTGAAAATTATAATTAACCGTTTCTTAAATTAAAATAAGAAATAAAATATTAATTTCTATTTTTAAATTAATATGATTATTTTTTTTAAATGCCACTGAAAAAATATAATTTAATTTCGTTGCTTCTTTAAATCAAATTTATTAACCTTTGATTAGATTTTTGAATCATTAATTTTCATACCATTTTTTTAATTTATCTATCGTATTGTTTTTAAACTTATATAGAAAATTTTAAGTCGATTTCAATTATTGCTAACTTAGTTTAAAATTAAATATTTTACATTCCTTAAAACTTTTCTTACGTGGGAAATACAGTGACCATTTCATTTGTCTTATCTTTTATCGTTCCAGAGGAATACATTCATTGACAATTTTAATTGTTTTATCAATTTCATTTACATTGACACATCAGTGACTTTCCAGTGTCACATGCATTGCCTTATCAATTTCATTATCATTACCATATCAGCCTTACATTTATTGCCATATCCATTTCACTGTCATTGCCTCCTCAGTGACACACCATTTCTTTATGAATTTCATTGTTTATGTCCTATCAGTAAAACATTAGCTGCCATATCCATTTCATTGCCTTATCAGTGACGCATTCATTGCCTTATCAATTTCATTATCGTTACCTTATCAGTGACACACTTATTGCCTATTTTCATTGCCATATCAATTTAGTTGTCAAAGTTCTATCAGTGAAACATTCATTACCATATCTATTTCATCGTCATTGCCTTGTCACCTATATTCATTGCCTTATCAATTTCATTGTCATTGCCTTATCAATTTCATTGTCATTACCTTGTCTATTTCATTGTCATTGCTTCATAAGGGACAAGTTCATTGCCTTTTTATCATAAATATAGCCGTTTTTAGCTTTATTTATTATGCTTTTTTTATTTTCTATTTCCCCATATTGAGTGTTAACTTGTTAAACTTTTTATAACGTTTGATTTTGTTGTAACATTAATACGATACAAGTTGAACGGTAATTTCGTGGAAATCAACCTCTAATTAGAAAATATGTTTCAAATTAATGTAGAAACTTTTCTAAAATTAATACTTTATTACGGTTGCAGCAGATTTACATTAGATTGTAGTTCAAGGTATCAATATTATAATTGATCGATTAACTGTTTTCTTTCTTCCTGTGAGAATCTAAGTCAGACAATCATGTAAGTAAGGCGATTGTTTTAAAATGTATAATATAATAAATGAATAGTTATTTTTTTCTCCATTTTTTCCATCCTTTATATGCAGTTACCAATCTATTTAATGTCTCAAAAAGAAATCACATATAAAAATCAAAATACTTGCAATCTGGCTCAGCAAAAAAATGTGGAAGTTTCTTTTTTGGTACATTTAAAGAAAACTATTTTTTAGATATACCCTGAAAAAATATACAATTTTGTAGAAATAGATACCTGAAACTACCAACGCCACTTATGTATTTCTTTAAACCTGCGCGAAAGCTCTCATCTTAACATTTTCTCATTTAGGCATTAAGATGTCGAGTTATTCTGCCGAATATCAGAAATGTCGAATGCCAAACAGCCCACCTAAATCGTTAACCACATTCTGCTTTTACAGTAATCTTCACTGGATATCGAGAACCACTCTATCTAACAAGATCCAAATCATCGACCTTGCATAAATCTTAAACGACGTCAGAATGATGAGTCAGTTAACGGTGGTCATGTTTACATCATTCCCGTCATCTTACGAAGAGGATTTAGAGAAAATATGAAATACTAAATAAAACTAAGATAACTTTGCAGTAACTTAGATTAAAAAATATGGGACATTAAGGAAGCTACGAAGTTACCTAAATTCAAATAAAAATTAGTTTGCTTTTTAATGCATCCTCTATGGTTTAATACACCCTTTAAGTTTGTTTTTAATATATCCTTTTAACAACAGATTTGTGTTGCTTTGCAATCAGGTTTGTGTCCAAAGAAAAGTAGGTCGAAGCGCACATTTAAGAAAATAGGCAAAGCTCAAAAAGCACATTTACAGATTACCGTGAAAAAGTGTTTACGAAAATTGACACGACTTGAAATACGCCTTTTCAATTTTCAACACAAATTTAACAACTAAATGCGAAATTGCGTGCTTTTTTTTCTTACTTATTTAAGCACTCAGCATAATCGTTACTTGGCAAAGACCCTGGTTTCGGGTTTGGAGTAGCTACATGTAATTCATGCATTTCGAGCTTTGTCTATTTTCGTAAACGTGCATTTCTAAGTGACACGCATTTCGTACTGTGTCACAATCCACACTGTTTCGTTGACACGCATTACACTTTGTCCAGACCAGTGGTCGAATGTAGTGCGCTGCAAGCAATTACTGTAGTCACTACTTTTTTTTGTAAATTGTAGTGTAGTGTGCTATTTTTCTTAAAAGTAGCATAGTGAGTAGGGAGATATAAGAAAATAGCAGTTTGTAGCAATTTCTGTAAACTACTTTTAACTGTAGTTTAGGAAAGAAACAGTTCGAACGAAAGTAGTTTTTCGAATTTTATGGTCAAAAATCTTTGCTGGTCCGTTACTGGATGCAATAAAAATGACCCTGTAGGAGAGAAATTACAAATTTGAAATAGCGTATAACTAATATTTAACCTAGCCATTACGAGGAATTGATTATTAGTCACACTTTTACTTGCGAATGTACACGCGTGAAACATTGATAATATTTAAAAGGAAGGGAACGTATTTTCTATGCTCCTATTTTTTCAGAAGAAATAACAGAGCATTAAATTGTTAAAACATAGCAAAACCTCCCACGGTATTTAACGTCACTGTCGCAGGTAGGCCTGATGGGGGATTTGTATCCGGATCCCCTTCTTTGGAGGAGAGTGCACTATCCCCTGAGCCACCGTGTCTCTGGTTTGATATTGTATGGTAATATACTGGGTAGTATATAGGTAGTTAATAGACTGCTTTTCAAATTCTAAATACAATACACAATCTTTAGGTCGTGCGCACGAATATTAAACCACTGTCTCATTGTTAAACGCAAAATTTATCTTAATAAAACTGGAAACTTTAATAAAAGGCCAGATTTTTATCAGTTCTACAAAGCATATGTTTTGTTGAAGACCAAACTTCTGAATCTCAATTTACTAACCCTATTTCTATGACTATTTAAGGTTCAACTCCTCATGATCAAACAATGCTCTTTGCAGTCTTCAGAGTCCAGGAAAGTATTTAAACTCTTTCATCAAAAAGATATTTCTCCAAAGACTTCAATGAATCCAATTAACATTTAAGTAGTGTTTGCATTTTTAATTATACATTCCATTTAATTGTAACCTTCTTGCAAAATGTATTTTATTTTCACGAAACTTTAGCTGCAACTTATTTTCAAAGTTGTTTTGCTTACTTTAAACATTTGGGAAAACACCTTTCCGTCACATACTATTGCAACAACTTCTAGGTTTGTTGAAAAACTTTCGTACTTGAATTTTAAAGAATAAAAGTACTTGATTAACTCTTTAGTCAACCCTCTCTAAACCTAAATTTGTTTCGATCAAAATTTGAAATTTTAAAATTATTAATATTCCAAACAATTCATTAATAAAATATATTAAATATTAATAAAATTTGTTTAAAACTCATAAAACCCGATAAGATTGCTTTTGCAGATTTCTGAAAGAGCTTAATTTAAGTTATAATCAGTTAGTTTCAGTGTATACCATTAATCTGTATCCAAATAGAAGGAAATCTGTTACAATTAGTCTTGACAATTTAAAACTAGAAGCTAGATTTACTATGCTTACATTCAAATAAATTAAATTGAAATGTTTTCACTATATAGGATATTATAATAATAGCTTTAGTACTATGCTTGTGAATATGTTTTCTTGATGAATGTTCAAAATAAATTTAAAAACATAACATTACTTTTCAATACTAACAAAAACTATCTGAAAACATTAAATTTATTAAGTTTATGGTAAAACAGTCTTACAGAAAGCAATCAGGAAATACAAATAACTTTAAATTCAGTTAAAATATACAATATTAGCCCTTATATTAGCATTAAAATATGTCTTCAACTTCAATCATCAGTAGTAAACATCAGTAATCAGTATCCTCATGCATCGGTAGTATCAACAAGGATGTCTTCGGCTACCGGCTGTGCAATCGAAGTGCTCTCGCCGTAGTGGTCCAAGACCAATTTGCTCACATTTTCAATTAAAGATCTTCTCTTTTGCAGGAGCTTCGGTTTGTCCTCCGAATCCCTAAAGTATTCGAATGATTTTTATACAATATGAAATGAATTTAGTCTTATTCACAAAAAAAAATTAGTCCAGATAGCAAATTAGAAACATGGGTACAGCACAATTTAGTATTTTGTTCAGATTGGCTATAAAGCAAGCTTTGGGTCTTTTTCGGACTCGAATTTTTTTGGATTAACACATCTCATTTTCAACCTCCGGCTTGTTTTTCTGCGTTTGTCAACTTCAACACAACCAGACTAACACCTTATTTTTAAGATCTGTCATTAATAAACAACGACGTCCGGTGGCTGAGCGGTAGCGCAAAGCGCTACCACTCATCCACAGGACCTGGGTTCAATCCTCGGGCCGGGCAAGATTAATCAGCCTTTCATCAATTCAGTGGGTCGATAAATGAGTACCAAGCATGCTTGGGAGCTAAACACTGGGGGTTCCGCGTTCGGCTGACCACCTGACCAGAACATCTGCTCTCGCACTCCAGAGCCCAAGGTCAGGAAAACTGAGATGGGCACAGTAGGCCTTGGCCCTCTATGGGCTGTTGCACCACTGAGTTTGGTTTAGTCATTAATAAACGATGTTCGTCCATTCTTCTGGGTAAAATTTCGTAAAAATTTAAGTTTAATGGCTATGATAAGACGTAAAAACTACTTCTTATAACTATAAATCGTTAAATATCACTAAAATTTACTACCCAACACCATTGTGCCGACCGGCCTGTGTGCGTGCCCTTGCATCTGGGTTCTGGGTTCAAATCCCGGGCAAGACATGGATGCTCTTTCCTTCTCCGTACTATCTGTCCCTACTGTGGGAGCAACGTTGGCCCACCTAATATGGTGCTCCTGAAATAGTGGCCAACAAATCTGCCCTACAGGTGCCTGTATGACCGAGGTCATTATCCAGGTGGGCATTGGGAAAAAAGCACACAATGTTTTGTTCAAAGAATTTGTTTCTTCTTCAGGGTTCTTAATAAACAAATTATACTCTACTGTTATCAAAAAGTCTACACTAGAAAAACAAGTTAAGTTTATGATTACCTAGTACAATAGCAAATTTAGTGACTGTTATGATTTTATACCAGTCTTAGAATAGTTTTTACTTTGAAAATGTTTTACTTGTAGATTAAAAATATTGAAGATACGTAATTTAAAGGGAGACTGATAAAGTATAGAGACAAGTAAAAATGACTGAATTTAAAATAATCTCATTTGTTGCATTGACGTATGAAAATTATAAAAATTTGATTAAAATTTTTTAAAAACTTGTTAAAAGTATCTAGATAAGGTTTGAAAGGCAAATTAGTTTCTGGGAACTGTACAAAATTGTTCAAAGGTCAGATAAAAGGGAACATCCTAAATAGTTTAAATGTTAATCTAAACTTGTGCCTTACTAATAAGTATTTTACTTTTTAAAGTCAGATATCAGATGAAAAACTTAGTATCAAGAGAGATAGTTACTTTATTAGGGAATACTCAGGAGATGCAATTTCAGGCAAGAATTTGAAAAAGAAATGCATGATCTGAAAAAAAAAAGAAAGAATTAGCTTCTCACAAGTATTAATGTTATTCTAACAGCAGGATTTTATTACCTCCTCATTCTTATGCAATCTCGTAGGCAAATTGTGTCTGAAAAAGTAAATAGTATTAAAAAACAAGGATTTAAAACTTAAGCTTTGAACATTTTAAGATTTCAAAAACAAATTTTATTCCACTTCCCAAAATGTAGGATAGTTCAAATTTATAAATTTTTTTCAATGTTAGTGGCAAGTTTTAACTTAAATTCAGTTTTTTTTTAGACAAACTATTCAAACAAATTGGTCCCTTAAACAAATGGATCATTAAAAAATACCGGTACCTAATATTTATAAAAATTAATGGCTAAAATAATGTCTACATAAACAAAGCTCCAAAGAGGAGTCTCAATTTTATTTTTAAATTTCTGATTTGATTAGGAAGTTGCAAAAGATAAGCTCGAACATTGTTCTGTAGACGAAAGGTACAATGTAAAAAATTAGATAAAAATTAGTCAGGATAATCCTCTAGTGATCGGATCTTCAAAAAAACCTGAGTGACTCTAGAAATTGACCTTGGTATTCTAATTACGGATAATATCTTAGTATCCCTAATATCCAAAGCAACCAAATAAGGGGTAGCCGCAATCTGGGAAATAGTCCTCTTAGTTGGTCTGGAGAGCGATCCAAAGTTTGAACTCCTTAATGTTAATTTTATTTTTTGCGAATTTTACCGTATCTTCAGATCTTCCAAACAAAATGAAAACATTCTGCACAAAGATGTAAAATTAGTTTATCGAAGGACAATTCCATTCAAACGTTCAAGTAGACATTTATTTTATTATATTTAAGAATTGTCGAAAAATTTTAAATTGCAATTTATACAAATTTACAGTACTTTGTATTTTGCCACATAAAATAATTATTCAAAAATTCGACCAATTCCTTCGAATATTTTCGTATGTATAAAACTCAATTTCTTAGGAACTATTCGACTGATTTCGCTCATACTTTGGGTTAATGTAAAATTAGCTTAAGATCCAAATAATTTTATCTTACAATTCGAAGTTTTTTAGACTAATAAATAAAATAAAAACCTATAAACATCCGACGAAATTTATATATTTCATCGAATTATCTTTGTATAAATTAATTTAATAATTTTTTGCATAAATATTTTAATTAGCTTTATTAAGAGACAGAAACTTTGAATTGTTCTACTGACTTAACTATGGTCCCATATTTCCAAAATTGCGGCTACCCCTTTTAGTTGGGGGTCGGAAACCCGAATCCACTGAAAAGCAAAGTTTTTTCAACGAAAGTACGTGTCCGATTTCGTAACTAAAATATCATCTTCACGAATTACTTATTAGTTTGAAGGGGTGATTTCAAATATACTAAGAAGGAGTTCAAGAACTTGAAGATCCGATAATTAGTTCAAAAGGTTTTCAGTCAGAGTTGGCTTGTTATCCGGAAGAGATTAATACGTTCTTGCTAGCCGTTTTTAATCCTTCCTGAAGGTATAATTTATTCACCTAAACTACCATTACCAATTAATAAGTATAGTTTAAACATTTGTTTTAATAGTTTTATCGTTGCAATAGTTATAGATTTGTGCCGAAAGATAGGTACAAAAATAAATTTGAAGTGTTATTTATATGTTTTGCATGTTTGAATATGTTTTATTATCACAGGTTTTTAACTTTTTCTTGATAGGTATCAGCCCTGAATTGGTTTCATCATTTTATTGCTAAATCAAATTGAAATATTAAGACTAATGTTAATTACAATTTTCCGTTAACAAGAATTTCACGCTTAGTTGCTAATAAACAAGCAAAGCTTCATATTAGATACTTACAGATAAAATTAAATTCAGCTGATATATTAAGTAATCGCTATAAATATGCAAATTACGACTTATATCTTTTAACGCATTATATAGTCTTAACTTTTAAACTACTGGTATATTTGTTTCAGTGTTTTATTTGATGTAGCGTAAATATAGAAGCAACGTTTCACTTTAGATAAATGTCAAACAGGTTAGATTTGAATTGAAAAGCACTTCATACAAAAATATAATCCAGCGTGAAATAGGATTCAGAATATAGCTTGTCTATAGAAATGCCAGACTTTGAAATACGTACATATATTTTTCATGCATAAACTCTTTCATAATTTGAGCTATTGATACCCGCGACTATAATTCAATTTTATTACATTTAGAGCAAAATTGGAAATTTCAGTGTGCTGCTTGGACGATTTGGGTAGGTTGCCACCTCCCTTCCTATAAATTTAATGTGAAAACTGAAGTCTAAGGAGACTAGTTTTATATCGGCCCGGAACAACAACTTTTAGAAAATTTCCAGTAGTCTAATTTCCGTATTCTAGTTTAATATAAACTTGCTAAACTTAAGATTGAATTAGTGTATCACTTCTGTAAACATTAAGATAATTACAATTTTGTTACTATATTTATGTAAAGATTGAAAAAATTCCAGTTTAAAAAAAAATTTCAATAATGAATAAATACTTCGAAGTCTAAAATTTACTTTCGAAAGAGCTAGAAGTTATTTAAAAAATTACTAGATTTTTAAAATACGCAATATTCTCGAACAACCAATAAAAAGTTCTATGAATTTTGCATAAAATTTTAAATATTTTTTTTAAAATAATGAACATTATTATAGCCACATACTATACTGGCTATTTTAAATTCTTTAATTTTTAACTTTTTGGGGAATACCACTTTGATAGCATGCAGCTTTAACCAGTATAATTATTTTCGCAACACAGTGGAACCAATATTGTTCATATTAGTGAGCTATTACCAGTTATGTTTGTTCCCATATCAAGTTCAAGCATGTTATTACTCTTAATTTCATTTCTCGAGTAATTTTCACTGTAGCATATTAAACTAGATTAAAATTTTAATGATGAATTTCAGATAGTATCAATAGAAAATTAATCCACAACACAGTTTCCTCTACTGCGGTATTTCTGGGAGCATAAATTTGAAATTTGTTTGACAAGCTTTGAAAGTCGAAAATTCAATACAAATATTCAATAGCCACAAGAAAAGTTCAGTCAGTTTAAGATTTTTTTAAAAGAAACTAAAAGAGTGAAGTAATTACCCAAAAAGGTACCAATCATAGCCTATAGTAAAATATGCCATTTGGTGAACGTCAAGCTCTTTGTGAATAAGGTTGTCAGCCCACAAAGAAAGCCTCAGCATGGAAATGAACAAAGGAGTCCGATCCCATCCTGATATGCAATGCACGAGGAGTCCACCTTCAGCTAAGGAAGAAAGAGACATTACGAACAGAAATATTTATTAACGGTCACCAAAAATGGTTTGAGAAACTCACCATTTTCTAGAAAATGAAGGAGTAACTTCATGTAGTTCTTTGTCAAAGTCACTAAATCCCAATTCTGAAATAAGTACAATGCTAAGTAGACCGAAACTTAATTTGAACAAATATAAAAATTATTTTGGTGTTTAATTACATATTTCATTTTTAATAGCTAGCTGTCATTAATAATCTCCTTTTTTTACATTTAAGGTAACCGACTAGTGCAAAAGCTTAGAAATTTTTATTATACATTTAGAATCCCCGTACAATTTGCTTTAAAAAAACTAAATTTTTTTGCACCAATTATTTATTAATTTAAGTTATAAGCAGCTTTGTGAAAGGTGATAATAGCGGATAACTTATTGATTTATTTACATATGACTTTAAATTAGTTACTTAAAATAAGATTCAGATTTTACGCCACCTTAAACATGATAACGTTTTTAAAATTGTCTCTAATTTTTATGAGCATTTATGATTGTAAAACAAATTTTGAATTACAGATTAAGAGAAAATGTAGAAATTTCTTGTGCATGCTTTCCACAAAGAGAAGTGCGGAAAAATCTAAAAATTAGAAATTTTTAGTCCATTTATCCCTAGCTCAATATAAGAACTTTCGCTTACGATAATAGTTCAAAACATATTTGAAAACAGTCTGAATAAAATCCCCAAAAGACTTGTTTTAGACCATAGAGAGTTTTAGAGTGTTCAGCGCAGATGCAAAAATTACTTTACCTAAAAATGGTAATTTGCAAAATGAAATTTTGCTAGTTTTATAGGATTTTTTACACATAAAAATAAGCTAGTTTTCAAAAATTTTATAATAAATAAAAGGCTGTCAAAATTTGTCTGATACCTTCAATTTGGAGCCAAATCCATAGAAAAAAGGACGCTCAGAGATTGTAAGAATTATTTCGAAATGTTTAGGTAAATCAAATTCAGTTATACGTAGCATAATATTCATTAAGATGGATTTTCAAACGTCGGAACCTTCGAATATTCGCACTGGAGGCTTAGATAATTTTGAATGTTACATCAAGAGTTTAAATTTAAAAAAAATAACTGGCCCCGAACTTACTGTGTATGATTTCCAATCAAATTCCGGAAACGGCAATGCTTCTTCCACGGCAAATCCAAGATTAGAATCTACTTCAGGCTACAGAAATTTAACAATTATTTTTATGGAAAAGAACTACAGACCATATATAATTTCAATTTTACATTTCTTAACAAGTGCATAAATAAAATTTAAACTGTGATTTAAAGGGAAGACTGGTTCAAATACAGTGCACTAAAACTAAAGATAAATACGCGATGAAAGAACTATAAAGATTTTTAGTCGGGTAATACTAAACAGATCATATAAATTAGAAAACTATCGAAGAGAAGGGAAATTTTTGTAAGCAACCTAATCCAAAGATTGTGGAATCAGTTTTTATAAGAAAGTATGTCTCCGGATGTGAAGTGAACACAGGTGACCTAAAGGATTTAAGTTCCTGGAAAACCAAATTTTAGTTTATGCAGATTGATTTATTTAATATTTGTCTAAAAAATTGAGCAAATTTACAAAGCAACATTTTAATTTATTTTTTTAAATATCAGTCTATAAATGTTAAATATAGGTAACTGGTAAAATACAGTAATTTAAATCTATACTGTTTAAAGAGAATGCATAATCTCTAGGTCTAAAGATAAATTTATGAAAACTGCACAGAGCACCTAATTACGCCAGGTAGTAAGTTCAAACTTTTCATTATTTGTTTTTTTTCTATGTTTAAAAGTCCGAATGTATTAGATAAATGTTTATTGAAAACAATCTCTTCAAAAATATTCAAGTAATTTATGAGAACTAGCTTTATGAAGTTTCAAAAAGAAATGATCCCATAGTTACATAATCCATTTAAAAAAAATCCAAATAAGACTGGTGCAAGAAATTGTTTGCTTCAATTTTGCTGTTAACTATTTTAAAAAGGCCAAGAACTAGATACTTTAGAACTTTAATATTTCGAAAAAAGTTTTCAAAAAAAAAAAAAAAAAAAAAAAANACACAGCGCGAGACTCCGTCTCAAAAAAAAAAAAAAAAAGAGATTCAAAATATTCCCATTAAGTACTTTAAAGTATGAAACTTTAGTCTGTACATGAAATTCTTGAACACAGATCTTCAGTTTCTTAGTTATAATTGAAGAAATAAACATTGAAACAGTGGATAAGGAAACTATATGAACTATACAGAATGAAGGAATATAAATTCAATCATTAAGAATGGAGTTTATTCTGTTACAAGAAGAAAGTATTCCAATTAATAGAAACAGGATACGTGTAGAGAGTAATTCTTTTATAGCGATAAATTTAAGACTAACAAATGATTAAAATGTGCATTTTCATAAGAATTGAAGGATTAATTCAAAAAATACACTCAGTGTATAAAGAAAGTTATCAAAATTTGAAAACTAAGTCTCAACCAGTTAAAATTCAATTCACATTAAAACGTTTGAAGTAAATTTTCAATTCTGTCGAATGCCACGAATTCCCAGAAGCTGTTGAAAAAGTTCTATAGATCTTTAATTTTCGAACCAAGATACTCAACTTTGGACACTCACGATATTAAGAGGTAAAAATCATTTCTGTATAATGTCTAAATGATCGCAACTACAGAAATTAGACTGATATTCTCAACAAAGGAAAGAAATATAAGTTTCAGTTTGTGTAAGACTTTAACTTGCTTTTAAAGTTTTGATGCAGGTCCGTAAAATAACGTACGGTATCTCACTATTTAAAAAAAAAACTGATTAAATTAAATAGTTTTAAATACAGTAGATACTGGAAAAAAATTTCTATCACAAAATGCCATTTTTTAAGGCGTGAAATACGTGATAGTTCCAATTACGTATTGCACACAACTCCTATAGATATTTCCATCTAAGTCAGATTTCCTAAAATTTGAATAAAATAACAAATTTGTTTCATCTAGCGGAAAATTACATTAACATTTAGCGCTTACAACAAATATCATTCTAATTTGATCTGCTGATTTGAGTTTCCACCTCCGAACGATGTTACCGTCATGGTTAAGACATTCGAGAGTTTTTCACAATTTACGTTAGCTTCCATACATTAGGTTTCAAATAATTGCTCACGCACACTTCCACTGCGCAAGCGTCAGTTCAGGCGAAATGCACGTGTCAGTCAAAAAAATTTAATTTTAGTGAATAGAGATTTTGCAAAAATCCGTAAACTAAAAACATTATCGTATTGGAATCGTTTTAACGTAATGGAATCCCTTTCACTACAGAATTAAAACAATTAAAAATGGACGTAATCTCTAAGGCTGTGACATGATTCAAGATGTAGCGTAAAATTGTGGTTCTGCGAGTAGAATTCGGTAGATCATAGATTGATAAATTCAGCGATAGAGAATGCAACTTAGTAATATTTCAAAAAACCTTCTAATGATTATTTAACTAAATTGTATAGTTAAAATAAAGATAATTTACAATTTTAAAATAGCGAAAATTAACCCAGTTTATGGAACCAGTACAATTAGATAAACATGTTAAATACGAGTAAAAACAAAATTTATTGAATGAACCAATTGTTGTATTTATGTAATTTAGAAATGAATCATGTGATCTTACTTCTCTTTAAATTCGTATTCCATGACCATGTTTTTAGTGCGAAGGTAGGCTTAAGCGGAAAATATTTAGCATCAAATTTGTAGCATTGTCTGTGTACCGTACATCACGCCAACATGAAGGTAAGTATCAGATTAGGTAAACTTTAAAGCAGAAAAAACTCACCGATTCCCAATCAAACACTAAACTCTGCTTATCTTTTTCATATTCGGGAGAAGATTTTATTTTGCTGTACTCTTTGAAAAATTCGCAACCTGTAGAGAAAATTTATCAATTAAAATTTCATAAATTTTTTTATAATCTTTTAACTGTTGTAAATTAACTTGCCTGGGAAAGGAATTCGCAAACATCTAAATTCACCATATTTAGCCATGTTTATTTTTTCTGACGAGCTCACCCTGAAATTGTTTCGTACAGTTAGAGCAATTTATAAAAGTTAAATAAAATAAAGTGACTGAAACTTACCACATTCCAGTATGGTACTTTCGATTTTCTACCATTAAATCGCATATGTATTTAACCTCCAGAACTTTAAGAATTTTCGCATCGATGTTTTTCATTTCTTCTACTCCGTATACCCTGAAATTTAATACTTTATTCTTATTTTCTAGGTATTCAAACTTAGTGCATACGTTGAACTCCAAACTTGACAATGGTGTGCTTAACACTAGAACGTCCGTAGATGTCTATTGGACACCGGAGCCTGTTCAGTTTGTTCTCCCTTCCACATTTCTGCAGGGGATTTGAAAATTTTTCGTGACTTTTAACCATTGTCCACAGAGATTACACAGAAATAGTTTGCTCTAGATTAATTAGGAGAGATTCTACTACTAAATATATCTAGGACGTCCTCAGGTGTTTCGACACTAAGGCAAATTATAAATATGTCGTTCAACAAAAGAATTTTTACTAATTGTATCTTCATGAACTACTACTATCACACATTTGACCTTGAAAGCAGAGTTGTTGGATTCACAGCAAATTTAGCATAATTGATTAAGTGTTTCGCTACATAGCCTTTTCTTATCTGCTCATAAAAAATTAATTTGATTTTGGAGCCTTGTTCAGAGAAGACACCCATAAGCGATGGTAAATACTAAATTTAAATGAATTAAAAAATAGCTAAAACAAAAAATACTAAAGAGTAATGGAAATGCAACTAAAAAATACGAGTCGCTTACAGGAAAATTGTGAAAAGTTACAGAAAAAATTGAATATCACTGTATAAATTGCAAATGAGGTATGTACAAAACATTATGTATAAAAATGAGATTGAAAAGCTTGCATTCTCGCAAAAATAATTTGCTCATTATATTAATGGTTATGAATATTTTAGTTTAAAAGAAAAATATTTGCTTTGTTACAGTTTGATATAAAGTTTTTTAATATGGTAATTACACGAAATAAAATAAAAAAAGTCTTAAAACTAAACCCTACTGAATAGTCTACACCGGCGTACACTTAAAAGTAATCAAAATTCTGGACATTCTAGTACTAACTATTTTTGAACTAATTTGATTCTTAAACATTACTGAACTTTGGTATAAAACTTTGCGAAAACCTATGTTATTTATCACCATTAATATCTATACAAAAAGGAATGTTCGCTACAGAATACTGCGCAACTAAACTTTAAAATTGAACACCTATCCCGATCACTAGTTGATTATTCAATCAAGCAAGCCACCTTGTGAGATTGGAACATAAGCTTTACTTCGACAGAATGCTATATCCCGTAAGCTTCATTGGTAAATGTACTAACTCAAGTTCCAATATATTGCGCTTAACCTGCAGTAAGCAAGGGCTAAAAATATACGACTACCAGCCATGGCTGGATTTTTATTCTGAGTCAACTTTAGAGATTTAAGCTTATTAGCAAAAATAGCAAAGCAGTAAATTCTTAACTACCATTGTGAATCTAATCATTAAATTTAGTATCTGGAAACTGAGGAAATTCAAAGAACCCGACTAGCGGAACATTATAGCATGGAGTTCTGGATATCGCAAGCCAAAAGCTGGGATGTACGATATATTACACAACTTACCAGCAATATGGTTGATATTAGACTAACATTGCTGGGATTCGAAAGTGGCTCATTTGCATTAGAAACTAGCTCTGCATTAAAAACCATATTTGCCACACATTTTATTTATGGCTCCGATATGAAAGCATTGAGATAAGCTTTTTGGCAACAAACAAGTACAATCAGCAAGTTATGTAGTGTTTTTTTTCTAAGAGATTTGTCTGGAGGATGTTTAACGCTAATGCAAATTTAGATTTACTGTAATGATTCATGGTTAGTAAAGAGCATAGCGTTCATAAAAGAGCCAAATGTTAAAGCTGAGCCTATGCTAGAAATATCAAAACTAATCTCCTGCCAAATAAAATTGAAATTTCGGTTGTAGATCAAAAACTAAAATGCGTAGTCTTATTTATACACATTTCATTATACCAATTTTATTTTCATCTCAAATGTAAGCGTAATTTATTCTTTTAAGATCCGGTTTCAGATCTATGGATATCTGTCTAAGAGGTAAAATTTGCCTAGACTGCTTATTGCCACTATTCTTCAGTTGGTTGCGGAATTTGAGCTTAAACTTTCCCGTCAGACAACTGCCTGTTGCAAGAACTTTTAGTATTAATGTAAAACTAAAAATCAACATCGTAAAAACTTACATTAAAGACAAAGCATCCTGGACTTTTTTGACGATGTCTGCAGCACAAGAATAAAAATACCTAAAAAGTAACAATGTATAAGAGTAAATCGCAAAAAAAAATGAACTATAAACCTCAAGCTAAATTTTAAGTATATATGCATTGGAAAAAAAAGTTTTTATTGTAGTTTACTATTTTGATAGCATAGTGCACTCAACTTCAATTACACAGGAAAAATTAAAAACTTGTATCAATTTAACATTTAGAGGTCTTGTTTGGTTGTTGCTCAAAAGCATTTGGCTGAAAACCGTACGATCACTGAGTGCTAAAATTTCATCAACCAATTATAAAAGTATTTCAGAGATTCCAACTGCTCCAGACACGACCAAATAATTAAAAAAAAACTAACTACAAACGAAATTTCTCAGAAAATTGGTTAAATTTGCTTACTTTTTGAAAGGTTTAACATGACTGAACTATACATGGTAGAGAATTATACAAGCCTTCGAATTATTTAGAAGTAGTGGTGGATAAGAACCGAAATCAAATTTATTAAACCAAGAATCATGCAATAAAAAACTACCACAAAAAAATTTATTCGCAGTCCGGAGCAAGTTTGCATCTAATTTTGTTGTAGAAAATTTATAAAAACCTCATTTTAATACTTTAAGGTAACGTAAAATAAAATGTTAGACTTCGTGGGTCATGCGACCAGTATTTAGTGACCCCTGTGGCGATTAATATGTTGATATAAGTTAAATATAGAAAATTTATAAATACTTACGACCATATTGGCTCACCAACCCACTGACCAATGACTTGACCTGGAAATAGAAACAATCAATATTTAGGATTTTAAGTTTAGAAAACAGAACAAGGTTAAGGCAAGACTCACTTCCAGGTTTAGAAGATTTCATCATGGCCTCGAAAACTGCCCCTTTACGAACAGCTAACGTTCCTGAACGGCATACATACTATAAAGAGTTCATTCAGAATTAGTTTTAGCAGACAAGAAATTTCTTTCACGAGATTGAAAAGACTTACCTTATTTTTGTACAAAATAACTGGAACTGGGAATCTACTTCTACATCTAGCAACAGAGGCTTTCTCTGAGAAGTCAAGATAGTCCTTAAAACTTTCGACGAAATTTGTCATCTCAGAGCTATAAGCAATGGAAAATAGGTTTGAAATTTATGCTGTAACGAAATTATCAGCCATGATAAATGATCACCGAAGCATTCATGGTTTATTTCCTCTTTGCAAAATGGCATACCCCCTAGAAAATCATGGAAATCTTAAGATGTCGTCCCTTAAAGATGTAACCCTGTTGTGTGTTCTATTTGGGTAGTTAAGATGTAAACCATTTTCCACCAAAAATTAAACTTAGAGTTCAAGATACTAACAGATCTAATATTTAAATCAATTCTAGCTGCATTTGGTAGTAAAATAATTGGCCCCTGTTAATGTCGCATTCTTTGAAGCTTTTTCTCGTGACTGCAAATTTCAATCAGAAAAGACACTCTGAAAATTCTTATAATCTAACATTGCTATAAGAACATAAAGGTCAGTATGGCTGTTTCATTTGCTTGAAAAGGTTTAGCAATTTTTATTGCTCAGTTTAAGACTGACGAGTTATAATAGTTTTTGTTAGACAAGATAGGTAAACTGGATCAGAAACCGGAGGAAAATTTAATAAGGCTATCTATAACAATTTGAAGCTATAGAAATTACAATTCAGAAAAGTTGAGATGTTTTTTAAAAGTTAAAAAAGGGGAGTGAATTATATATTTCGGAAGTGATAAAATTTTTGCAGGAACATTAAGGGAACGAGAATTATGGAAGGGATGAGGGTACCAAAGGATTCACTGCATGTAAGAACCTTTTAAAAATTTGATTTTTTTTTACAGGACTTAATTCTCTGGATCGTATAAATTTTGAAAAATCATGCAGGAAAATCTGCTTTATGGATGTGATGTCTTGATAAAACTGAACAAAATGTGTTTTATTTAACTCGAATTTTTCAAAAGTATTTTCCCCTTCTATACCAGTCTCTCTTACGCTATTAGCTTTGTCTAAAGATAATATTTTTATAAATTTCTCTAGAATAACTTTCTATCAGCAAAAAAGGTTCTGTAATATTTTTATATTACTATGTTTCCCTCTCAAATAAAAATTAAGACCACTGAAGTTGAAAAAAAAAATGTTAGGAAGGATTATCGAACATTTAAGTTTTATAAGGAACGAAGTCTCGTATAAACAAGCTACAAATTATACTCCACCACCACAATACGGTTTGTCACTTCATACAAACTGGCTACTCAATGAGTTCTCGACATCCGACTTCCTCTGCCACTTTCTTGTTCAAAATTTATTAAACCATCATTACACCCCTACCTTCATTTCACGTAGACATTGTGGAAGGTTGTTTATAGAACTGAAACTATAGTATGGCCTTTATGTACTTCAATTTTTGCCTTACTCACGTTATTTACTTTGATTCCTTACAATGTTCAGATAGATTTTGCTTAAATATTCATTTAATAAATTTGAATTCTGAAAATTTGTTTAAAAAATAATCACTACCATACAAATATTTACTTAAACGAATTCTAAATTTCAAATGCGATAATTAGACTAATTACTTATTGTTAGACAAAATATTTTTCTTACACAATTTGCAGTTTCTTTTTCCCTTAAAGTGATGCTTCTTAAATTTACAGGCATCGTAACTAAACTGAGAGTTATTTTTATTTTTTAAAGTAAAAGCATATATTTGACAGAGCATGTACTTTTTCTTGAAAATGCACATTTCACCTACTCTTACTGAAACTCAATCTTCCCTATTTTCTAAAATTGCTTCTCTCCCAAAAGTATCAATCATAAATACAATAAACATTTCGTATTACTTTGCATTTAAAATTTCCAAAGTCTCATTAGCTTTCAAAATATATTTAAGCTAGAGATAAAGTTTGCTGTTGAAATAGGCATTTACATAGCTTCATAAGACAAAGTATTTTGTGACTAATAAATTTAAGATTAACTTTACAACAATTTAAAATTTAGAGTTGTGCATATACTTAGTTAGAATTTAAATTTTGCGTAATCATTAATTTTAAATTCATCACATTTTGATATGACTGCTATTAGACACAGTAATTTTTAAACTCTTATTTATGAGAAACATGCTTTCCGAATAAAATTGTATGTCATGAAAGTAAAACACAGTTCGTAACTTCTTGGAAACTCCTAACGTTACAGACCAAAACTTAAGATTGATTTTTATAGTTAACTGTTTAAATTTTAAACATTTGTGCCATTGAAACAGCCCCTTTTCATATTGCAAAGTTTATCAAAAGTAGCTAATAGATTTGTTTATTTTAGATTGTTTATTTAAATTATTTGTTAAGAAAACGTTTAATTAAACACTTTAAAAATTAGTACTCTATTACAGAATCACTTTCAAATACAGTTTATAATTTGCAGACTAAGGATCATTAATGAATGATTCATGATCAACTTATATATTCAACAAAGTAAAGGAAAGTTACCCTTCCACTTTTGCATCTTCATTAGATGTATTTGGACTGTTCGATTTAAAGGCAATTGGAATAAGTATATTCTTGGGATAGTTCCAACATACTGTACCACCAAGATTATAGAAATCCTATAACAAAGGAAACCTGTAAATTACTTGAAAAACCTTAACCTAATATTTGTAAAATATTTTTTTAAAAAATAAATGATGACGCTTATTTTCAAGAAATTCTTATATAAGACGCAAACTTAAAATTTCAGTATTTTTGTAATTGAAAATAATTCTATGCAAATGAAAAGGATATTCTATTCATTTAAATAAAATGAACAAACTATGATCAGCTCTCAAATTAGAAAGTACCAAACCAAACTGATGAAATATTAAACTTAAATAGGATAAAAAAAAATTCCGCTGGGATTAATTTAAACTTTCTAAATTGCAGAAAGTTGAAATTTAACTTGAAGCCAGCCTAGATTATCAAGAAAATATGCAATTATACTTAAAAAAAAAATTAAAGTTAAGTTGTACAAATAAAGTTTCCATACTACTCGCAATAGATTTGTATCGGAGTTGGTAACGGCTATTTTATTAAAACCCCATGTGTAAAGTCTCTTTGCGAATGAAGACTTCATTTTAACAAGACTAAACTTTTCTGAAACTAAATGACAATAAATGGCTAGTACAGTTACCCGGTTGCATTAATTTCGTTCAATAATTTATCAGTACTAAATTCTTAAATTAAACTGTACGGCCACACGTTTAATTTCAACGGGATTAAGCATTGATCACTTACCTTACATATATAGTCCATTTTCAGAAGAGCTGCACATTTGAGGTATATATTTTGGTCCACCTAGAAGTTAGGACATTATGGGTAAGCTTTAATTTTCTTAATTTATTACTATAAAACTATACAAATTACGTACCTATAGTACAATACATACTAATTCATGCGTCTATTGTAAAAGTGCAAAACTTTTTAATTTCTTCTAAATTATTCTCATAACGTTTGGAAGGTTAATATTTGAAGAAAAAAACACAGCATTTGATAATTAAAAGCCAGATTAAATCAGTAGAAGGTAGATATCAGTTTCACGAAGCTCATGGTTGTAAGCATTTACGCTCAGAGGCAAAAAAAAAAAAATCACTCCGTTATCAAATATGCCAAATAAAAGACAATTTTATAGGCGTTATGCTATGGAATCCGTTCACTAGATCCTTTATCACATCACTGCTAACAAGTCCAATATAATGTATATAAATACACTATGCTGAATCCACTATACTCCAAATTAATAATCCTTGTGTCGTAAACTAATCGTTAAGGTTCTTTTAAAAAAAGTAAAATCACTACTCTATCTCAGGCTTATCCTCCATATATTTACATACACAACTACACAACAGTACTGTTTAGCTAAAGAGCAGCTGCACTACGTCAAAAACAAAAACAAGTACTTTAAGTCAAAAAAGTCTAAATTTAAAAAGTTGGAATCTGGAATTAAAATTTTTTTTATATTTTAGAGTAAAAAATAAAGTCATTGAAGGTCTACACAATTAAACAGTTTCTTTTGTTTTGGAGAATTAAGGCTCATATTATATATCAAATCAATAAACTAATTTGCTCTGAACTCAAAACTTACTGACAGATAAGGTTTAACAGTAAAATTGCTTTAAATGAAATTTGACAATTTTAATTTTAAAGTAATTTTCTAAATTAAGGGTTCGGAAAATTTCTCCTTTAATTCCTTAATCCTTGAAATTTCAGCATTCTATTTTAACGAGATTGAATTCATGGGAGGAAAATTATACAACTACGTTCTCAACACAATCTTTAATTTCATGAACTGTCCGCATTCCATCTACATGACCAAGCAAAGGGCATTTTTAGCATTCGTTTTTGATAATTTAGGAAATAAAACATCATCTAAAATTGAAATGGGATGTAATTGCTACACAAAGATGTAAAATTTAATATCCCATTACTGTTTAAAGCAAGAATAAATAGATAAATGAAAATCACAATGAAATTAGAGATTTAAGAAAAGTTCAAGAAAAAAAGAATAAACTAGCAGTTAGCAATATCTTTGCTTAGAGCTAGGCTAATAAGGACTGAAAATTTCACAGTTAAAGCATTAAAAATATTAATTTCTTAAATATTTTAAAGGGTTAAGTGCAGTTTAAACGTAATTATTTAAAGCTGATTTTGAAACTAAAACCGAACGCTTGCGATGCCTCGGCATGTCCTTTGAGTACTGCTCTTTTACAGATATTTCCAAGAAATAAATGCAAAATTTAAACAGGCTTGTTTCATTCATACAACACTGACTGGAATCATAGTAATTAATCGGGAACTATTTAGAAACTTTGTTGTAACAAGTAGGAACAAACTATTCCTACTCATTAATATTTTTTGACCGCCTGATTGAGTAATTTAAAATTCCTGATAATTTAGTTTGTATACCAATGTAAATAATTACAGTGAAATTAATAAATATATAAAGTTTTTTTTATTCTTTCAAAAAATCGGAATATATGAAATCTGAACTAATGTCGTACCTGCTCAAATTATTTAGTTTGATTTTAGAGTCTGTAAGAGATTTAATATAGGCTTGAAATTTTTAAAACTTGTATTTTTAAAATATGCTTGTTATCGAAATCTAAATTGACGCAATCTTAATTAGGCCATAAAAGAATTCTTCAAAACAACTTTGGAAGACTATCAGTAACTAAACATTTCAATCCTTAATTTTCACATAAGAATTCGAAATACTTATAAAATACATAAAAACTTTAAAATTTAAAAAATTTTCTTTAGTTTTTTTTAAAAAGATAAATAGCGTTGTTATTTATTACACTAAACATAACTCTGCAGCTTATCAGTGTATATCGACAACAGATTCAAACATTTCAGCTGAAATTTTGTATTAAGTACTATAACGAAGAAAACAAAATACGATGCATAAATAAAATTCAGCATTAGTTCAATAAGTGCCTAGAATTTTCCAGGATTTAAACCGAATATATTCAAGTTAATTTCACTAATCATAGAGAAATAACCTTTTTACCAGCATTTATCCTGAAGAAGTTTCGCATAGTAAATAGTAATAATTTTAAATTAAGTTTATAGAAATTTCGCCATACAGAAATATTTGGAGACATCCTTGAATTCTTTTAAAAAATAAAGCTAGTTTTAAACAAATCTAAATAGTAATTATCCGATACATAGAGAAATTAAAATTGAATCGATTATAAACTTTTAGTTTGACACTTAATGTGGGAAGTAAATCCTATCTATAATAACACAAAAATTTAATTTTTGTACAGTGCAATAATAGGTTTAAAAAAGTTAGATTTATATCAAATATTGCACTGTCAAGTGTATATTTTTTTAAAGGTTCTTTTATACTGGTTTTCAACAAATACACGTTTTATTGCACTAAAAACGTGTTTTGTTAAAAACTAGCTTGTTTTAAAAACTATAGTTTCATATTTTAATTACACAATAGCTTAATCATTGTTCAGATAGTTTACAGAAAAAATAAACATTTATTAAATTACGTAAATGCACTATATCGTTGACATAACATTTTACTTAATGATTAAATCTTAATTATTTTCTTATAATTAAATTCGGTATACTGATTACTTTTAAGTAAGATAAACTCAAGATTTTACCAGAAGAGGTTTCGAAAAGTGGGAATTATTATATTTTCTAAATACTGTTTACTTACAGTGTGTTCGAAACAAGCATCGTAGTGTCGAGTTGCAGCACGTTTCAACAAGTTCACTATATCGTCATCCCCGACAGAACAATCAACTTCCAGAGATTCAAAGTCTTCTCCTACATCGCTAGCAACTGTTGATCGAGTGCCTTTCATAATACTGGACACCGATTCAGCTTCTTGGTCAACTGACATAGCTTCTGCAGCTTCATTCTTAGCTTTAGCAGCTTCATATTGGTTGACAAATTCTTGAACCTCCTCGTTATTTGTTTTTTGATCATGTAGATAGGACTCTCCGAGATAATAAAACACGAAATCGGATTCATCGACTTCTTCACTTGGTGGAACCGTTGTACCAGGCATTATAGAAATATTAATAGCCTTCTGTTGTAAAAATTTCAAGATGGAACTTGCCGAAAAAAATGGGAAAGAGTGAAGAAATAAAATTTTTAATCACTATTTAAAAGGAAACCCCCGTTAAAGTTACGATAAAAATATTAGGAGCCGCAGTAGAAAATGAAACGCTATGTGTACTGGTTGCCAGACCGAGAGATTAAATTCTTGGCCAGAAACAAAGCAGGTCGTAGGTTCGTGAGCCGAAGTTCCTAAAGGACTCCAACTCTTACAGGCAAGCTAAAGACGAAAGAATGCAGACAATGAAGCAAATATTACTTATAGTAAAGTAATTAAAACATTTAAGTTCGGCGGAAAGAATAATAGATCTCACATTGCTTAGTCATCTAATCTTATTTTTCGTTTTATTTTGTAACCGGCTCTGAACAGACGACGGTATTCCGGGTTTACGACTATCAGTGTTCAACTCCGTAGCGAAGTAATTTTGAACCGAACCCAGGAGACAAAAGAACTCCTTGATCAAGCAGGGGGACAAAATAATCATCATGGAGGACATTTGGGCAAAACTAACCGACAATTGCGCTACATTGGGAGGAAAACCAAGAAAACATTTCACGATTAACCCGATGGCAAGGGAATTCTAACTCATGATCTGTTTACCGCTGAGGATAATTTTCGTCAGTATTGTGGTCGGCGCGAGATGGGAGCGCAGTTCGTATCAAGCAGCTACTGCTGGGATTCGAACCTGTGTCACCTCATTGGGAGGCGAGCGCTGTGTCTTTTCACGCCACACTGGATTATTCTGTAGTCACATACGAAATTTCGCGTTTATAAGAGAAGTATATCTCACACAGGCACTTAAGAAAAATGTGACTAAACATCAAAAAGATCATGTAAGGAGAAGGATTAAAAACAATCATTCCTAAATAGAAAGGCACATATTCATTTCACAAAGTCACTTAAAGTTTTCATTGCTTAATAGCGAAAAGTTTACACAGATGGATTTTGATTTTATAAAAGTCGTAAAGATTGTCACAAATCATACAATCAAAAGAATAGAGCCAGCATAGAGTTGCAGTCTGCCTGGAAAACGATAGTTCAAAAACATCCACCTCTTAACATAAAAGGGATCAACTCCTTGAGAGCAAAACCAACCACCTGCATAAATTTACGTCGCACTAGAGCTATTGGCGACGGTAGGGGAAACATCCCTTAGGATGATCCGAAGACATGCTATCGCAATTTTGATCCTCTGCAGAGGGGAGGGTTCCCCTGCTTTGGTAGCCCGATGAACTGCGCGCAAAATCGAGCACTTTACAGTAGAACAATTTAACGAGGACCGATACAGCTCACACTCGGTCTCTACGTAGGCTGCTCAAAGTGATCACCCACCCACTTATTGACTGCAGCCAGTGATGCTTGACTACCATGTTCTATTGGAAACCGTGTCTTTGCGATCATTCCACTGCGGGATTCCAATGATTAAGAGGGATAGCGTTAAAAAATGTGTCTGTATTTTATAATTTTTTGACATTACTATTTTCCTTTTTAAAAACGGCTTCAGTAATTTAAGCTGACAGAAACGAAGCAAAAATTAAATAGCATAAAATTAAATCCAAGTCGTAGAAATTTGAACTCTATCAGGAAAGATCCAAGATTCGAAACCCAAATCCCTAAACTTCATGAAAAAAGCAAACAGAAGAAAATTGATTAATTAAAAAGTGATGAATTAAAGGTAATGATTTGATATTTAACAGAGAATTATATTTTAAAATCAGTGCTTCGTTAACAATCAAATACTAATGAACTATGGACAATTGTTTAAGAAGGTTTCTTAGTGATTAATTTGTATATTGTTACGTTTACATGTGAAGACTTGTGTACTCATTACGAAGACCGCTAGTAAGCCCTACAAAAGATACCACTTATTAGAGAGATACCACACTAAGATATATCCAAGGTTTGGGTGGGATTCAAACACAGTAAACCGGAAGTTTTCTAAATTTCTTCCGGATTTAGGAAGCTTGTTATTGTTTACATTCAGTCTACCGTGAGTACAAAGCATTTAACTACAGTGTTTTTTTTCACTCCAGATCACATTCAAGGAACTGAAAACTAAAACATTTAGTGACAAAATGTGATGTGATGGATGGGAAAAGAAACATAAACAGCCTCAGAAGCCCAGTAAAGTGCTTATAACGATAATGGTAACTTTCTCTCTCCTCCGAAATTTTTCTTCTCTATCGTCTCCGCAATGCACTCCCCAACCACCTTGGATTCCGAAATAGTGAAATACGTTTTTGGAAATTGAGTTTCAATCATACAACTAGTTATGCAAAGTCTTTACCATCTAGGTCAGCATTTCCCAAAGTGGGGTACGCGTACCCCCTGGGATACGGGAACAGTTTATCAGGGGTTAGAGTTCTTATGCCAAATATCTTGGAACAAACAAAAATTTCCAAAACATTTATTTAAAAACAAATCTACCCATGAAAATTTATGTATTTTTCAATTTTCTATTTTTTTCTGAGTTAAAAGTTAATAATTAGTGGTGTGAACAGCCAGTTGAAATTTTTAGCTCTTGTGCAATTTTCTTAAAGCAAAAAATTCATTTATATTTTTAAGTGATCCACAGCTTTGCGAAAAATTTAGAAAGGGTACACAAAAGTCATAAGTTTAGGTTAACACTGATAGGTGACAGAAGAAAGAGTGGATGGCACTTTAAGCAATTGCATTTTTGGAGATTATTTCCGATTAACAACTGTGCGGCCTTATCATTGAGATGTTGCAGATATCAACACAACGAAAGATTCAATATTTTTTCTGTTGTTTTTGTTTCCAAGTTTCAACATACCCATGTTAATTTGATATTTTTTCTCTCAATATGCAATTCGTAATTAAATATCTTGGGGAAAAAATATTGCTTGTTTGGTCGTAGAGCAGTTGCATGAAATGACAATGCATTCCGTGTCAAAGAATCAAATACTCAATAGATGTACTCCTAGTTTGCTGCATGACCTTTTTTTAACCTTCCGGAACGCGCGTCTGCGTTAATTTTACGACAAATTTGGTTATTAAGTTACTTTTTTCGCATATCACAGCTGAGGCGTTCAAAGGTGCTGGATGCTGGATATTGGGTTTATCTCGGTGTCTGGCGTGAAGCGCCATTGACCGGTTCGTCTACGCTAGAATGGCATATGCTAGGAAGTCATATGTTAGAGTTCATGAAGTAATTTTAAAAAAAGAGTTCAGTTCATCATTGGAGTAGAGCTTGAATTGTGGTTAGATGATCATCATTCAGATGGGGAGACCCCATTAAGTAAAGTTTGAAGCAAGCTGTGATCAGCTCGTGGAAAAGGCTTAGTCCTGGATGTTGTATTAGGCTTGGACTCCAGAGAGGAGTGATTGCAGCATCGTCACTAGTTCGGCGTTTTGAAGGAGCTCATGTATCTCTTTAAAGATGTGGATAAGTCTAGTAGCCTTACTCGTGATGTACTTCGATCTTTTTCCTGTTATTTCCTTGGTCGTTCACTGCAGCCAGTGAAGCAGGCAGGATGGCTCTTACAGTTCACACATGTTGGAGGCTCACCTGGTAGTTTTGTGCAGGTGTAAGTGAAGTGCCCTTTCGCATACTTCATGCAAGCAGGCTTAGGGGCTGGGCAATTTCTCTGGGTGTGCCCGAACTTCTGGCACCGGTAGCACTGGATTTGGAAACGGCCGCCACTAAAACGCTCGGTCAGTACCGGGAGATTGAGAATAGAGCTGATATTGTAGATTTCTCTGTTAGGCTTGGAATCTGATTCGATAACAAGATAGAGGGGAAGAAGTGAATACTCCGCGTTCAAAGGTCATTTCTATTCCTCCTTTGAGCCCTTTCCCAAATCATGGAATATGTTAACAGGAAGTGACAATTTTTATTTTTAATCGAGAATGTGTGTCACGCGGTTGTTAGTTCGTAAAACTCACGACACACGCGTGGTCGTGGGTGAAAATTCGAAAAATCTTTATTTTTTAAGTGTTTTGTAATGTTGTTTTAATAATTTGTGTAAAATGGAATTTATAATTTTAATATCTGTTTTCATGGAAAAAAATATTCCCATGTAATTTTTTTCCGCATTTTCGAGAAATGTCTGACGAAGAAAAAGAAGGGAGGGAAACATTTGGATTCAAAATTGTTTGTGATTGGAGTGAAGAAAGATCAGTAGTGAGTCTGCAAAACATATTTCGTGCAATTATGATAATATTAATTCAGGGGTAAGAAATGATTAAGATATGTTCCATGTTGGCAAGGATTAATCTTCTAAGTGGTAAAAAGCGAAGTATGCAAACTGCTCAAAAACGAAAAAGAGAAATATTCTAAAACTGTCTTATGGTGTAAAGTATCATGCCAAAGAAATACATGATGAAATAGTATCATATCAAAAAATAATTGACACATACACCAAAGAGCCATTACATTATGACCACCCTCCATCTATAACAATGGACTCACTCAGGTTTTCATGGTTTCTCGCCCGGGAACAATGCTTTCATGGGGAAACATTAGGACCCATAATCCTCATAGAGCAATCCCTGACGTCAGTAAGCTACTTGAACCTAGTTGCAGACCAGCTTCACCCATTCATTGCAATAGTCTTTCCTGTGGGGGATGGTGTTTACCAACAAGACAATGCACCATGTCATAAAGTTCGAATCGTCGAGGAACATTCCAGTGACTTTCAAGTCATGTCTTAGCCCCCAAATTCACCTGACCTTAATCCAATAGAGCACTTGTGGTCCTACTTGGAAAACCAAATTCGTGCTGCCACGCTACCCCCTCGCAATCTGTGGGAATTGCAGGACCCGTTGGTGAGTGGTACCGGATACCTCAGACTACCTATCAGCACCTTGTGGAATCAATGCCACGGCGGGGGCTAGCAGTTTTGAGGTTTAAAGGTGATCCTACATGTTATTAGAAGGGTGGTCATAATGTAATGGCTCTTCGGTGTAT